CCATCCACATTGAAGGAGCAGAGGTGGAGAGACTCAGCTGCTTCAGATTCCTGGGCATCAACATCAGCGAGGATCTGAGCTGGTCACACCATGTTTACCCCTGATCTATGAAACTTGTTGATTTACCTTCTCATTCTCCTTTTTTTCATGCTATTACAGCTTCATTTACATCTTGTTGACGTTTTGCTCTGAGCTTATGTTGAATCCTGAACTAATAAGCAAATACTAAGAGCACCGAGGAGTAAGTACAGTATGTATCCAGATTTGAAATTCAAATGAGAGGTTTTATTCAGAGAGATCTGCCACTGATTTGATTAACTTCACCTTTAGGAATTATTTCTTTCCTGAACCTGCTTAAAGTATCATAAGGAGTAATTTCATGGCATTAAACAAATCAAGAAAATCTGCATATTCAAATAGTTCACAATCGTCCTCCTCTGAGCTCACTGGGTCATTTCCCCCGACTTTACAAAGAAACATCATGGAGGAAGTAAAGAGTCTTTTTTACTGCTCTGACAGAGCTGCTTAATAATGTGATGCTGGATGTTGTAAATGTGTGGCCGAACTACAAAATCCTCAAGATGGACTACAAAAAGATCATCTTAGATACTTAAAAACCTGCTAATGTTTTGTTTTATGCACAAAATCACTACTTTACCAACTTGGATTTTATTTTAAAGGCTTGTTTATTTCTGATGAATCATATTTACATCATAGTTTACACATGTGGTTGTTTTTTTTAACTTACCCTGCTGTGTAATAGGTCATATTGACTGCCACGCACATATTTCCACTTCACTTCAGAAACTACTTTGAGTAAAAAAAGCAGAACCATTGAGTGTAGAAAACTATTAAACAGCCAATGGACTGCACCATCTTACTCTAACTCCTCCCAGTACAGTCAAACCAAAAGACTTTTTTATCAGTAGGGGTTTCCCTGGTAATTTTGCAGGATACGCACAATTCAAGCACTCCTTTACATTTTTAGATGTGGTTATATTTGGAGTATACTGAAGACCTGTAAAATGGAACAAGTGCACCACCTGTGTCCCACCACGGATGATGGAGGAGGGTTAATTTTGCGATATGTTGAGTATGTTGAGATAACTATATTCAGTGTCACTTTTTATATTTTATCTTTTCCTGCTCTAGATCACAGGGCTACCTTTAAGACACTTGAAGCAAAACCTGATTAAAAGGTAAACAAGGAAGCTTTGATCGTATTTTGCCACACATGGCTCGAGACATTACTCATTTCTGAAGTCAGACCCACCCATTCTCGCATCCTTTACTCTCACCACTCACAGTTGGCTTTTTATACGATGCTTGTGTGTCGTTTATTATAATCTGGCAGTGGGTACTCGAGCTGTCCACAGCAAGGAATAATCTCTGGTTAACAGCCATGCTCAGAAAGGGCTATGATGTTTTGTTGAGGCAGAGAAAGGATGACCACGAATAATGTGTTTATCATTAAACTGCTCTGGACTCTATTGTTTTCCCATCTGCTGCTGGTTTATGGCCATGAAGGTAAGAAGTGAAAATATTCACATGTTTGCATATGTGATAAATTCAGTGTTCCACTTTAACAGTTATAATGTTACCTGGGGATAACTGTATGAATATCAACACACATACAGCAATTATTTACATCTGTATGTTTTATAGACAACATTATGTATGTAAATAGTGTATATATATATATATATATATATATTTGTTCAAGTAGGGTTACTTTTGCACATGCTGTCCAAAGCAAGGAATAATCTCTGGTAGTGACGGGCAGCTGAACCAGTCAACTCAAAATAGAAGGTGATAAACGCACATCGGCCCTCTCGATGGGAAATTTGAGCATTACAAAAATAACAAGACGGAGCAGTCGACCGAGATAAAGTATTGTGCAAGAAGGAATTTCCTTGTACAATCTGGATCGTAACAAACTGTAGACCTATTAATATGGTTGACAACACACACTTTACATAGCTTTCGTTCCTCTTTTCAAGGACTTGAATTGCCTCCCCAAGAGTGACAGAGAGAGAGATAAATGTTTACAGAGTTTTTTTGTAAACATGAATGTTCAAGATGTTCAATAAACATGTTAAGTGCGTATTTCTTCCCTTTTTTCTTATGTCTTCATCATCTATCTCATGCAAAATGAAACGCGATTAATATATATAATTAATATAGAATAAAAATGAATGATATTTAATCATTGTTAATCAAAATTAATCCATAGCAACCCTGTGATGAATCTGATAAAAAAAAAAACTGTAATTGTTTGACAGCACTAATAGATCTTATATATTAGTGTATACTTACCTGTTAGTGTATAGGTTGTTTAAAAAAATTGTATTTCACAGCAGAGAACTTAAAGTAACGTTAAAAGATTGAAAAAAACTCTTCAAATTTTCTTTGAATTTAAGCCTACCTTATTTCTGTGTTTATTCTCCATTTACTTCATTGTTTTGCATTAATGTTACAAGCTTAGTAAAATGTTGAAAAATGTAATTGCAACCAGGCTGTTGATAAGTAATTGCAATTAATAATAATTAATTATTATTATTAATTAATCAATTAATCATTAATAATAATTAATTACAGAACATTATGTGATTGATTTCTTTTTTTTAACCATCGTCATATATATATATGTATATATCTTGTGGTCTCTATCTGTAGTACAATCTTGCTGATCAGTTGATCAGTGCTGTTGAAATTAATAATTGCATGGTGACTTTTTTAACCTCTCTTCTCCTGTTTTTTTTTTTT